TGTCAACTGCAGTGATCCTATCAAAGCACCCACGTGACTGCGCTGTTTTCCTTTTCTAGAGGTTCAAAGGTCACACCGGTGCTTAGGATGAAGCACAAACGCCTTTGGGCACAGCGAGCCCTCCTTTGTCCCGTTCCTCAGTGGTCCTACACACCAGTCATACTGAAGTTGAGGCGGCACTGAGATTTTCACAGATTCTGAGAAAAGTCTTGAGACCTTTACCAATCCACACATTACTAAATACTCCTGTACCAATGTTCCCATAAAACTATCTACAGCATAACATAAACAATTAAAAATGAAGCTGGAATGGCCAAAGTAGCAAGCGATGGATCCTGCAATCCTCATAAGAACGTCGTAGAGCTATCTGGCTCTGCAGTAGGTCTGGAGAAGAATAAAGCCAGACAGATGCTACAGAGGCTGAGAGAAGAGGAGGGAAGGAGGGAGGGAGAGAAAGGAAGGTATCATGAGGGTCAAGGCGGGTTCTGAAGGAGCAGGACAGTAGCAGAGTCATCCTCAGGATGCTGTAGTTTCTCCCTTCCCACTAGGAAACCACAGCCCTGGCACCTCAGCTGAGAAGACGCAAGGGCTGTGATGAGGGAGTGGAGGGAGATCCTCAGGTCCTATAAATTATGCAAAACTGAACACACTGGGCACCCACTATAATTTATTATTTAATTTTTAATGCAATTTAATAACAACTTAGTTTAATGACTAGCAAGTACATTTTTTAAAGGACAATATGGCACAATTTCATTTTCGGCATTTTAACTGCAAGCTTAGCTGATATCTTTCGGACACCTGAATTTGTTAGTCCTTGGAATGCTATATCTAACTACATTGAAATGCTACTTTTCATTTGTCTTTGAAAGACAATCTGAAATGAATCCTAGAACCTAGAAAACGAACCCCAACTTGTAGCTCTACTTTTTAAATTCCGCAAAGGTGCCTCTTTGTACCTACAAAATGTTTGCAAGAAAATAAGCAAAAAATAAACAGTGTATTCTGTGGTTCATTTTGTACTGGTAGTTACTCCATCCTGCTGGCAAATCTTTCAGTCAGCTGAGTTATATTTTCCCTTATTATTTTTTTCTAAGCCTTCCTTTAAAAAAGTTGTGTTTGCTAGTTGTCATATTTTAATTTAGAAAACTCAGAGAAAGAACTCATAACTTCAGTAAGCTGAAGCATTAGCACATGTGTACTTTTACCCTACTTATGTTTATTTTTTCATACATATTTTGAGCAGCATTTTATATCTTCCAGATTTGGGGAAAGAAACATTCTTCCCTTTTTCACTCCAAAAATAGCGAAGGAGTCAGGTTGCTATTTTGCTCTTGTTTTGTTTATTTCCAACTTATAAAACCACTGGACTTTTGTTGTCACTCATTTTAGTTTATTTCTTAGTGTCTACAACAAAACTATCAAGAAAATCTAAAGCAAATGTAATTCTACCACTAAAGTTTAACAGCAGAATTACAACCAGGTGATCTTAAAGATGATACTTTGTCTAGATTAACTACAGGATATACTTCAATGCCCAATAATACAGAAATGCTACCTTTGGCATTCTACAAATTAAAAATATTAGAAATACAGGATTATGCTAAAACTACAGAGCATATTAGTAGTCAGAATAACTTAGTTGAAATGAGAATGCTATTGATATTTGATATATCATTATGTTCTGATACACAAATTTATTCAACATTGTTTTAAATTTATTAACTATTATGCCACCAAAGAAGAAAGAATATTAAGAATCCTCATAAGTGTTTGGTTTTTAGGTTGTACTTTGTATTGATATAAAATCCAAGTTAAAACTGAGCGCTTACCTTAGCTATTAAGAAAAGTGCACTGGCGAATGAACTACTGTCGGCCTGAGCTCTACCAAAGACAGAATGTTTCAAACTTTTCCATGACTTACAGAAACAGAGCAAAGGATGAAGCTTCAGCAACTGTCCCTGGAGAAAGCGCTCTCACAAGTTTAGCCCTGTCTCATGTTTCATCCTCTCACATTAGCAACAGGCGTGTCTAATTTTACTCAATGACATAAACAGTTCATACCACACTTAAAATTGTTTGGGCACCAATTCCAGGACACAGCTCTTTACGTGCCAAAAACAAACCAAAACACACAAACAAGAAACCAAACTCTTCTCGTTACAAAACCAACATTTCAACATTTAAACCCTAAAGCATGATAGTCTAACATAATTATAACTTCCTAAAAAAACCTTTACCTCAAACAAATAACAAAAAACTTCTAAGACTAATGTCCATTAGAAACCAATATTGATAAAATTTTATGAAAAATCTCTTCAAATTAATATGCAAGTTAGAACTTGTGACTATATATATTACACATATACTAGTCTCATCCAAATGCATATTACCATGTAACAGTGACTCTTTAAAAATCACTTTCCCTGAGCCTCTTTAAGTGAAAAACGTTAATATCTGAGGAGAAAATCCTAAACAAAGATCACCATAATAGAAGGTAAACAAACTCTGCATGTTAAAATTATGACCGTTCTTTTCTAGGAAACTCACATTTCTATTATGTTTAACAAATGATGTGAATGTTACAACGTGATCTTAAATTGTCTTTATCTTCATTTAAGAGTAATTAGGCCATTCCATTTTATAAGGTGTAAAGGCAATAGAATAAATATCCAACTTCTGAATAATTTTAATATTTTATTTTGCCTTATTTTTATGTGGCCTGGTATGCAGCATGAATTAAAACTTACTAAATTATATACTTCATATTTGCATTTTAGTACTAAACCTTGAATGTAAGAAACTGTGCCTTAGTATACACGCACACAGAGTTGGGAACAACAGATACTGGGGCCTACTTGAGGAAGGAGGGAGGGAGAAAGGTGGGGATCAGAAAACTGTTGGGTACTAGGCTTACTACCTGGGTGATGAAATTATTTGTACATCAAATCCTGGTGATATGCAA